TGAATGCATCATTACAGTATATGACTGAAGGGAGAGGTCCGACACACATTGAATGTATCATTAAAGTAAATGACAGGAGGGAGACGTCTGGCACACATTGAATGCATCGTTACAATAAATGACAGAAGGGAGATGTTCGACACACTTTTTTTTTCTTCCCCTTGTGTCCCCTGTTCGACACACATTGAATGAATCATTATAGTAAATGACACAAGGGAGACATCCAACACACATTGAAAGCATCAATATAGTAAATGACACAAGGGAGACGTTCGACACACATTGAATGCATCCCTCTGCTTCAGCACAGCAGAGTTCTGCTCCACCCCTTTGGTTCTGATGGACCAGATTATCTTCTGAAAATTCACCTCTGAATGGTACATGGACACTTTACTTGTGATTTATGAATTGTTTTGAGTTGTGTTCACTGACAATGTTGTTACATTACTGAGAGTTTTACAGAGTCAGAAACAGCAATGATGTTAACAGTTTAAGCTTTAACGTTAGCTTAAGATAATTTTTTTTCATTTGTTTAGTGGTTTATTGTTAGCAAAACTAATCTTTTAGTTAGTGAATTAGTGATTAGCGAAGGTAACTTTTTGATTTGCTGTTCCCACCACTGTGAAAGAACAGCCAATAGTATAGTGGACTAGGCCTCCGACCAAAACCTGCCTCTGAAGACCTTTATGGGACAGGAACTGTTATTTCATTGATTTGAATCCAGAAATACAAATTAGCTCATCCAGAGACTGCCTAATTGTATCCTGAAGTAATCAATTGAAAGAACACTCTTCTTTTATATTATCATTACTATTTTACAATATCTTGATAAATCAAAAGTGTGTTTAGTTCATACCATTCCTAAATGTTGAAGTGAACCACTCATTTTAAATCAACTGTGAAACAGTATTAATGATTTTTTTAAATCCTCATTTAAATTAGAAATCAAGAAAAATGTCTATTTATAAAGTAATTATGCATTTTGATCTTCTGTCTGAAATGAGAAGTAGTGATGTCTGTCAAAAGTCGGAGACAAACAAAAACAAGTTGTTAAAACGGGCTGTATTGCTTTAAAACTCTCAGACAGTAAATAAGAAACTGGCACCTACAGTGTTTCTCACTTCGCCAAAACATTTCTCTGTCTGTTCCTAAAACATTCCTGCTGTTTTCTTGACTTGTAATGACCCTCTGACATCACTAGAACCACTCCCTGTTGGTTGCTTCAACCAATCAGGAAGTACTAAAAGTGACCGGAAGCAGAGCTCTTTAAAAGTCGACACTTCCTGGAACTATTCTCATTCAGCAGTGCTAGTTCTGTTCTGAAGTTCTGGAGTTCTGTAGAGTTCTGGGGAAGTTCTGGAGTGGAGTTTTTCCACTGCTGAGTGGAACTTCGGACTCAGTGAACTCAGTCTGATGGAGTCATCCATCTCTGCAGGAGTCACGGCGCCTCGCTGTGACTTCCCCCGGGCGAACGCCCTATAACTTCTGAGGAAGTTTGTTCTGTTGAACGGAGTATCTCACGACTTCTGCCGAGTTGCAGCCGCCCTGAGGAGATGATGAAAGGTAGCGTGCCAGAGACCTCTTGACCGTAGCGGACCCATCCTCTGCCAAGGTAAAGAGTCGTCATGAGCTTCACGCACTAAGTGGACCGAGGGCGAGCTGCGTTTGAAAGGAGCGTGCTGTTCTGGTACACAGACATACATCTTCCTTCAAACTCTCCCTTTAAACTCCTCCATTTTTCCCATCTTTAAACTTCTATCTTGCCAGTAATTAATCTAGATGCCTTCAGAAATGTATGTTGTTTTTATTAAGTAAAACGTGCCAAGTTTTATTAATCAGAACCAGATCAGTCTAATCAAGTGTACAATTTTTTCATGTTAAATTTTGATTCTGTTCAATAAATGACCACATTTATTTTGATGGGTCAAAGAAAATTAACGTCTCATGTCACTGATTAAACCATCTATGCACAGTTTCTTCTGTCACATGGCCGTAATTAGCTCGAAAAAGAGAGAACTCGTTATTTAAATATAAGTGTAGTAAGGGTACAGCAAGCTGACCTTGACACACTACAATAGAAATGTAAAAGTTGCCCCGGTGATAATGAGGATTAAGGCACAAGCCCAATTTCAGGCTAATTTAAACTTGAATCCAAAGAGACCGATATCCCCCACTAAAAAAAAGTTATGAGAGAGAGAGATTGATGAGCAACAGTATATGGGGTGGCTGTGGCTGAGCGGTTAGAGCAGTCGTCCTCCAATGCAAGAGTTGGGGGTTCGAACCCACCAGCAGTCACATGCCAAAGTGTCCATGGGCAAGACACTGAACCCCTCATCGCCTCCGATGTGTGTCCCATCGGTGTATGAATGTGATAAAGCTCTGATTAGTCTCTTTAGAATGATTTGTTCAATTAGCCTTGTAGAGATCTAGTAGAGTGCTGTATGAATGGGTAAATGAGGACACAGATTGTAGTGTAAAGCGCTTTGAGTATCTTGATTAGATAGAAAGGTGCTATATAAGTACAGTCCATTTACCATTTATATGTTGTTTGCTTTGTATCTTTAATTAATAATATAATTTCATGTCTGTGCTCTTTAATAATCTATTGTCTCTTTTACAGGTCCTCAAATATCTGGACTATGTCTTCACTGGTGTTTTCACATTTGAAATGGTGATCAAAGTAAGCCCGTGTAACCTTATTACTTTTTTCTGCATATTTTGTTGGCACAATTGTAACCACTATAATTCTGATGACATTTATAAAACGGTTGCCGTGAGGAGAGGGCACTAGCCTTAGTTGTTTTATTGATTCAATTCAATGTTAAACTGTTATAATTTAGCACATTTAGTATGTTCTAGTCCAGCGTGATGTGAGATACATCTGCCTGCCTCGATAGACTCGTTCAATAAATAGTGAAATTCGAACAGGATCCGACTAGCGTCTCTTCCCAACACAGATGTTGGTCACAGCAGCTACATTCTGTCGTAGATTAACTACGAGACTCAAAATATATTCCATCAGTTGTAGCTCAGAAAAGCAGTATGTTATACTCCGCCGCCATTGCTGTTGATAAAAATATGTTGTTGGTCCACATGTGCATGAAATATACATCTAGTGCGCATGTGCTTTAACACCTCTGAGGAAGCTTTTCACACATCAGCAGAGGATCGCCTCGAAAACCTCCTCTCTGAGACCTGGGTTGAAAAACTCAGAAAACCCTCCAGATTCAGCGAGGGGGAGGACTGGTGTCATGTAAATGAACAGCCAAACCGCAGAGAGGAAGGTGCGATTTCACTCAAAATATGTGCCGTGTAAACTATGGAACACCAAAATGCTCAAAGTTAAATATATAAATAAAGCATTTTGAAATAAGAAAAATTTTAATTTTTATTATTTTATTTCATAATTGTGTTTTTCATAAAGGCTTATTTATTTCATAATGCCACTTTTCAGCTAAATGACTTCAGCTGTCAATCAACGTCAGTGGGTTGGACTGGCACGCCCACTGGCTGAGCCTTCACATCCATTAGTTTTCCTGAATACCTGCTCACTAATCTTGTCACGAAACCAGGCTTTTGGATTCAGAATGACAAGACACAAGAGTAAAAAATGAAAAACAGTTTTATTTACAATTGCAGCTGCAGGCAGGGAGAGGATCCAGAAGAGGTAGGGTCGTGATCCAGAAGGCAAGGCAGGGGTCAAGCATGGGGAGTCAGAGTTCTTTAAACAGATGCAAGGGCTAATCCAAAATCCAGAGTCAAAGGGCCAGAAAAAGTTGTCGTACCAGGGTCAGAAGGGTCAGAAGCAAAACCAGATGAGCGGCAGGCAGAGAGATAAATCCAAGAGGCAGGCGTGAGGTCGTAGTCCAAAACACAAGGCTTGAGGTGCAGGCATGAAACTATGAATGGCTTGAGAATCAGTGACCATGAGAGATTTAATAACCTCGCACTGGTGGAGAGGGAGAATGGATCTTGTAAAGGGTGCAGAGCAAGTGAACCAGATGAGCTGAACAGGTGAGTGGCATCAGGGCTGATTGCTGTGATAGGCTGAGGGGGTGTGGTGAACTGTTAACTGACAGGAGCAGATGTGAGCAATGACAGGAGCTGAGGGATAAACAAAACATGAAGGAGAGGGGCAGAAAACATGGCATGTCATGAAGGGGCAGGGAAGTGAGCAGATGGAGGGCCAGCAGGGGCCGCTGATCATGACATAACCCCCCCTTTAAGGTGCGGCATCCTGACGGACCTACCAGCAAAGAACTAGCAAGAGTCGGGTGGGTGGAGGGAGTCCGGAGGCGAGCAAGAAAAGAACTGGGTGGGTGGAGGGGGTCTTGGAAGAGGGTATGAAATAGGTTGGTAGCCAGAACGGCCGTCCAGAGCTGTTACAGGGCTCAGGTGGGCGGCCAGGAGGTTGTCCAACAATTAGCAATGTCGGACAACTGGCTGACACGCCTACTGGACGCACGCCTGTTTAGTCCGCTTTAATCGAACTCTAGCTTGTTTGCCTAGGAAGTTTGGTTCGTTTGGGGAGGTGTGAACGTGCCATCGAACTCTGTCACGGAACAAAAAGGCAAACTCTGGCTCGGGCTAAAACCTAGGTTTCAGTTCGGTAGAAGAGAACTCCAGCACGGTTTGAGTACAGTGTGAATGTAAACAGACATTCCCCACTCCACAAGCAAGAAGTGGAGTACAACCCAGGGCAAACAAACACACATTTCTCCTACCTTATATGGAGCTGTCATCTGCCTTGTGTGAAAAACAATATTCTCCATGGTCTTCTGCCTCATCTTCTGCCTCATCTGAGTCCATTTTTGAAAAATGACAAAATATAACTCCTAAAACTGCTAAAACTTGATGCCACTCCGTTTTTGTTTTTATTTCCAGAAGAAGAAGTGTCTTCAGAGGTTTTTGTGTTGTTTCTTTCAGTAGTTCTTGGTGCAGCGCCCCTACAGGCAAGTGGGGGAACAGGTTGGTTCAACAGGTTGGCTCTTCTGCACAGTGCAGTGTGAATGCAAATGCACCAGCTCAAATGTAAACAAAATGTCATGAATATTGGTCCCCAACCGAACCGAGTCTACCGGACTATCAGGTGTGAAAACAACCTCAACCTCACGTGCTTTCGGGCTGGGCCCGACCAGCCCCTTAGGTAGAATCTTGGTCACCAGGGGCTCACCAATGAGCCCCTCCCCCAGGCCTGCTCCAGTATGGGGCCCTGGTACCCTACATCTGTGTGTGAGGGAGGGACACTGAGCCTCATTTTCAGATAATTAGTGTTATTAACTTACTTTTATATATATGAATGATTATGTACAGTGCCCTGAGATTACTTCTGTTGTGGTGCTAAATAAATAAACTGAATTGAATTGTTGTCTATCCATACAAGTGTTGTGAATTGTCTAACCTGTCACTAAAGTTGACAAAGTCAAAAAGTCCTTGATCTACAAAAGTCTTTTTTTCAGGCAGACAGAGCCACTTTACACAACACTGTTTTTGAATGAAACTGTGGCTTTTCTGCTGTGGTTAAGCCGTTCTCTCAGAGTGGAGGTTTTGGGGAGACAACCTGCAGGTTTATGAAATCACTGTGCACTCACTCTGCAACTGCAGCCAGCGCTTTTTCTGGACTTGCACCAGCAACAGAACAACAGCAAGCAACAAAAGCTGATATGAAAGTTGTTTTTTTGTTTTTTTCCCCTCTATCCTCTAGTGAAACCAGACGTGTTTCCCTGTTCCCACCCCCCCCTGTCCCCGCTTCCCTGCTGCACTCTTTTGTCCTGTGAACCCTTAAAAAGCCTCTTTGTTGTTGTTGTTTTTTCTGCATACCTTTTAATTTGAAGGATCAGCTGGTCTCTCAACAAAATTGATCAACTTCTCCCGACAGGAGTCAGGGTAAGGAGGACCCTCTTACCTCGACAGAAACAAATTGGATTCATGATGACAACTGGCTATTTTGCTGTTTGGTTGGTGAATTCTGGATTGTCTACAAATTCATGTGGATGTGTCGAAGCTCGACAGTGCTCAGACTGAATTTGGAGAGCTGCAGCAGGGAGCTGGAACAGGCTGTTATCAGGACTGTGAAATCACTGGCAGCACTCATGAATGGTGGGAATAATCTTGGAGAAGCTGTGAGCTTGACTTTTGGTGTAAAGGATCAATTCAGCTGTTTTGGAGTTCCATCAGAGGAATATATACCAGCGAGACTTTAAAAGGCAGAAACAACAATTCACGAGTTCTGCCTGACCCAAATTGTGGCCTTGACGCCGAACTTATCTCAACTCCTCCTGGAATGTTTTGAAAACAACAAAGATGCTTTGACTGTTTCCTCCCCCCTCCCTTCCCCAAGGCCGTGGACATGTAACAGAACCTCAACTGAGCTGATGATGAATGTCACCTCTTATATGGACAATGGCGGGGGGGGGGGGGGGGGGGCGCTCTGGACTATGCTACGACTTTCCCTTAACAATTCAATGTTTTCACCGGCCTATATGTACATATATAACGTCTGTTTATGTTGCTTTGCTGTGGTAGGTTTTTTTGATGCCACAAATCGTGCCCTGTCTAGGACACGGCGTGAGAGATCTTTTTTTTATACCGTCTCTCCTCATGTTTTCTTCCCTTTTCTCATCTAAGCAAAATATTATTCTGAATAAGAATAAGAGTGCCGCGCTATTTTATAGCCGTAGCTTCGTGCACTCCGCCCATCTTTCGGACGACTGTACGTACATATTCTCGTTGTATCTCGGTGCAATGCCCATAAAGTTTATTCTGATTCTGATGTTTGTCCTACTCACCCTGTTCAATGTGCCAGAGAAGCCCAACCTCATTCTCAGTCCAAACGAAGGTTCCTGTAGTCACCATTTGAGTCACCATTTGGATGCTTCTCATGCTGGGACTGTATGTGTGCTCCAGTGTTGCCCGATCTCCTCCAACAATAATGACCCTTTTAGCCCCCTCCTTTTCTGTGTGCATGCACAACATGTACCTCAACCTACAACCTCCTCATTACAAGAAAGCACACATTCACTCAGCACATATGATATTTTGGGCCAAAATACAATACTTTTAAAGTGACACCACAGTAGTTCTTTATTTTCCGTCTGGCAACCATGCCTATCTTGGAAACTTCAGCGATTAATGTAAACATTGGTTACGTACTGTAACCCCAGATTCTATGAGTATAGGCATAGCCCTTTAAGGCTGTCGCTGGTGGGTTTATCCCATCATGCAAAGTATCGAACTGAAAAAATGTAGCCCACTTCCACCTGTTGTGTGGGCCCCACCGGTCCGTATAAAATACGTTAAGAGCGGGTAATCGGCTCCCAAATAGCTTTTTTCTTCAGCCATTTAGGAGCCAGTGAGGCCCGACGCTTAAAGGGCTATGCCTATACTCATAGAATGTGGGGTTACAGTACGTAACCAAAGTTCTATTTCGTATAGGCTTCATCCTTTAAGGCTGTCGCTGGTGGGTTAAGGGTGAAGCATGATGTAGTCTCCGCTTCACTGGGTCCATTCGAACACCATAAGAAGCGTCCACTTGCCCAAAAAACATCTTGTCACTCAGCTCTCCATGTGCATAAATACGCGTTGCGTAATTACGCGCACCATGCACAGACGTGCACTGCGTAGTTTACGCGTTCCGAGTGCATGAACACCCCGGAAAGGTTTTCAACGGGAAAGAGGAGA